GTGAGTGAGTGAGTGAGTGAGTGAGTGAGTGAGAGTATGAGTTAGTGCGTCTGAGTGAGTATGAATGAGTTCATATGAATGAGTGCATATGAGTATGAGTCTCCCCCCCCCCCCATTTTCGTACCGTGTCCGTGCGCATCGCGCACTGTTGGTGCGTAGCGCGTAGCCCGCGTAGCACAGGCTGCTCTGCTCGCTTTGTTTAACTTTCGGTCTCGTTCAAAATTAGTATTCATTTCGCATAACGCGAACGGCAATCTAACCGTGTTGCGGTGCGGCCAACTCGACACTCCGCCGCGCGCCCCCCACCCCGCCGCAGCACCACAGGGTTTTACGGTACAGCGCACGCGTTTTGTTCGGCAAGTCTCGCCCGCCACGCCACACTCCCCGCCAGACACCTCGCCAAGCGGCCGTGCGTCTCTCCATCTTGTGAAACTAACCCCCGCCCTCCTCCCTCCATACCTTTCCCTTGGGTTTCATGCATATACGGTCACCCCCTCTCCCCCATCAGGACACCATCGCCGCAGTGAAACATGATCCTGCCCTGCGGAGGGGGCAGCGCCACCGAGACTCATTGCATTAGTGGGCTCGTCAACCGAAACCGGGACAAAAAAAAGTGGAAGGGAGATGAGAGGAAGGAAGCAGGGGGTGGGGGAGAGGGGGGTGCTGAGATCAATCCGGTCTTGGTGTAAAAGGTTCATCGCACGCAGTTTTTAGCAGATGATACCTTTAAAAACTTTTGACTAAACATAGAAAATATATAAGTAACTTTAAGGTGTCAGTTAGCTTTTTTAAAAAACATGAAAAACACATAGTGAAGCTTCGGCCGCGCAACATTTTCGGGAGCCGCACCCGTCTGGCGTTCAGATTATTTTTGCGGTGTTCTGCGTCTCCACACACGACCGTCAAAATGCAGATAAATACAGGACGATTGTTTACAGGAACAAGTCGGTGAACTGTAATCGGTCGGTGTTGTCTTCCAACCAGACCAAATACCTGCCAGGAAAAGTTGGCGAAAAACCTCCAGGGCAGGGACCGTGCAGCTGTATCAACTCCTGCGTACTAGACAGCTCCGATGCACACGTGCTCAGATGTTGCCTAGTTGGCGGGCGGAGGCAGGCGGAGATAGTCACCCGTTGCGACACGTTGGCTACTGCGGTTCCTCGCCTAAATTTCTGGCAACCCTATAACACTGCGCCAAAAACCAGCGCCTTACTAACTGGAAATCGACATGAAAAATTTAGCACACTCAGTGCGGTATGACCATAATGTGGTCACGCTCTGCTCGGATTTCCAAACCCGCCTGAATGCCCCGCCGCTCAAGGCGGATAGTGCCTATTTTTCCAAAAGTACTGCCTTTGGCATGTGAAATTCTTGCATTACCATAACAAATATTCGCGAACTTTCAAAAAATTACAATTTTTGGCATGTAAAGATGCAATAATGATTTGCATTTTTAGTGAGGAATGCGAAAGTTTGGCATGCGAAGAAACTACAAATTATGATCGGAATCCCAAAAGTTTTGACATTGAACAGAAAATGCCATAATTATGTGGTCACAAACAAAAATTCTCAGTCATGCCTGTGCCTCAAACACAGCCCCGCGGGTCTTTTCTTTCTTTCTTCCCCGCAGCATCACGAGGGCGCAGGCGACACCTTTATTGCCCCACATCTCTCGTAATTCCACAGAAAGATAAGCAAGGCGGGACAAATTGGACCTCTTATCGCGCGGGGAGGATAAGTCGTGGACGCGGAGGAGGAGGGTGTTCGTGTCGCCGGGTCGCACACATACGAGACGCAGAGCCGGATAGCCTTCCAGTGTGTAGGACTCTACCCCCCAGGAGCGCCCACCGCACCGCCCCGGCCGCAGCGCGGCTCAACACCGCCGCCAGCCGCCCCATAGACCACCATATAGTGTGGCTCCTCGTTTCGGTTTTAGGCGGAACATAATAAGCGAGTCCTCGTTACTTTCTGGAAATGTATGGGGTCCGTCCTGCGCTGCTGGTCGGTCCCGCCCGGCCGGCCGAGGAGGGGCTGGTGTATGGTCATGGTCCATGGGATGGGGCGGGCGGCCTAGGCCGGCCACGGGCAGGCCTTATTAGGATCAGCTCCTCAATGAGGTGGAGGGGCGGAGGAGGGTTAACACCTTCCTAGATAACGCATTAGGCCAATTACGGCAACACGGCAGCCCTTTATCTCCTACGAGGCCGCTTCTCCTGCTGCCGAGCGTCTCTCTCAGCTATCATCGCCGTATGTATTGTTCTTTCCCCCTTACGCTCGTCAGAAAAGTAGGGGGGGGGGGTGCTTGCCTTGGGCGCAATACAAGTAAATCATACACGACGCATTCCTACCGGGTGTTTTAAAAATTATCAAAACTGGAACGGGGACCGGCGATCTTTACGGAAAACTTTTACCTTCGGGTAAAGAGACAGCTACAAGGGACTGCCAAAAAACAAACCACGGGTTTTTATCATCAGCCACCTGCTTGGTATATTTCACAGGTAAAAAGTGAAAAGAGCGTAAGTCCGATAGGAAGTCCGATAGCGCCCTTTTCACTTTTCACCCGTGATTTTCACAGAGGACACACGCATCGCGTTGGGAACGTGACGGCACGCAGGCGGCGGCTACCGGCGGGCTGCTCGGCCCGCTGTTGGCACCTCTCGGCTCAATGATATGGGCGAGAGGTTCATAATGAATGATGGGCTCTTCGCGGGAGGCGCGTCTCCCGTCTCGTCCTTCACTCCCTGCGCGGGTCCGTCCGAGAGGGGACGAGGCGCGCCTAGGCAGCCTAGGTGACGACGGCGGCGGGAAGGAAGGGGGGAGTCCCCGTCCGTAGAGCGCCCGTCCGCGCTGGAGAGCCAGACTACTCCAGGCCACGCCGCCTTGACCCATAGGTACACATATACGTGGCGGCCTGCGTCAACAAGAGCCAGCCGACACGACGTAAAACAAACGAACGGATGCAAGAATCTGGCTATTCTAATAAGACAAACGAACAGGCGAGGAGGAAGAAGAGAGACTCTCTTGGCCGGAGAGGCACCTCCGGTCACACAGCTTTGGGTTCCCCTCATTCCTTCTTCCTCCATACAGAAATCGGTAAAACCCATATGATAAGAGAAAGCTCAATTTATACTTCTACATTTTCTTCCGGTACTCCTTTCTTATTTTGTAATATTGCCCCATGGCCCCCTGGTGCCGTCACCTCACCTCACTGACCAGATGGTACACAGGTACGACGACGTCCTCTCCCGTCGTTTATGGCCAATATTTCACCTCCGGCCCTTCGGGCTGCGGGGCGCCGCCTGCGCCGCCGGCTGCAGCTGCAGTGCAACACCGGTAGCGCCAGCCGCGGTGCCGCGCCATAATGGTGCTGATGGCAGGCAGACCGACCGGACCGCGCAATGGAGAGCTCTTAGCACGTCGCCGTGCCGTGCCGCTGCTGGTGGCCCCCCAGCAGTGGTGGTGGGCCGTGCCCAGGCCGACCCGACCGGGCCACCACCAGCCCACACACCTCAACAACCACCCACGACGAGTCCGCCGCCGCCGCGCCGCGCGCCCGCCGGACCGGCAGAGTCAGAATGGGATGAGTGGCGACCTGGCTGGAGGACCTTTAGAGGGGGGGGGGGGGGCAGAGATGCCGCACAGTAGCACTCTCTGTTCAGCCCGGCGGTGAAATTTTAGGTCACGTGCACGTGGCAGTCACCATTTAATTGTGTGCGGATTTTTGATTGAAGCAACGCTGAACAGTCAAGCAAACGTTCTCAGACTGAGAACGTCCTTTAGCTCCCCTGAAACGTTCAGTAAACACGTTGATTACAGTGCGGTCATACAGGAGGCTGATTAGCAATGCCGCGCAGTTTTGTAGTTTGTAGTACTTTGTACCGCAAGTGGGCGCGTGGCTTGCCTATATTGTGGCTGACCACGGCGCCTTATGGACCGAGCGAGTAGGCAACCCGCCTGCAATCCTGCATGCGGTACAGTATAACAACAGCGCACGGGGTTAGTCAGCCACCTATGGTCAGATGGTGGGGGTGGGAGGGGTG